TCTTCTTAGTCTGTTGTCTGTCCTTTCATTTACTTAAGTATCATCCAGACAGAAAGAGTTTTATAAATGCATGGTTTCTTTCTTGCATGGATAACATATTATGTATCTTAGAAATATTTGCCTAACCCATATTACAAAGATTTTCTGTTTTCTTGTAAAAGTCTTATATTTCTACATTTAAATATCTATTCTGAATTATTCTGTATATGGTGTGAGACATGTGTTTAATTTTTTTTACATATTATGTCTAATTATTCCAGCATCATGTTTCTTTCCACTATTTTTTTTTTTTTGAGACGGAGCCTCAAGCTATTCCCCTGGGTAGAGTGCCATGGCATCATGCTCACAGCAACCTCCAACTCCTGGGCTTAAGCGAGTCTCCTGCCTCAGCCTCCCAAGTAGCTGGGACTACAGGCGCCCGCCACAACGCCTGGCCATTTTTTGGTTGCAGCCATCGTTGTTGTTTGGCGGGCCCGGGCTGGGGATTCGAACCTGCCACCTTAGGTGTATGTGGCTGGCGCCTTAGCTGCTTGAGCCACAGGTGCCGAGCCTCCACTATTTTTTAATAAAGCTTCATTTAACAAACACTGTTACAGAATCCATAAAAAAAAAAGGGTGGGAACCTTCCAGCTTTGTTGTGACAATTCTATTACTAGAGATGGAAGGGCAGTTTCTGGTTTCTTTGACTGGCAAGGAATGCCTAAGAAGTATACTTTCCACTCCATAGAAATACATGACAGAATAGGATGAATTACCAAAGCTCTCTAGCCAAAATCACCAGGAATACACTTGCAGTTGAATAAGTTGAGCTTACTACTCATTACAGCAAAGGAGACCACCCCATGGGGGGAGCCATGGGGTATCCCTCATGGCCAAGATGTTAGAAAGGACTTAAGATTTGGGTTTGCATTAGGTGATCTGCTAAAGGTTTTAAGAAGTAGAACTTTTCTCTATACTCTAAATAGGATATTGTCATAAAGGACAATTCTGTAATTGGGTATCTTGATAAATCTCACGTAGAAAGAGGAAGGCCAGATGAGGCTAAAGCTCATTATCATGTAACTGATAAAAGAGGCAATAGCCGCTCATATTAGTTAGGCATTTTCATTTTGTGTATTCCATTTGGTAAACTGTGTAGCATTCAAGTTTCTATGTTCAGACATGACTACAGAGTAGTCTGGTTTTGTGCTGATCCATTATGACCCTGGATGGGCCTTGTCTGATGTTGATATCCTCAAAAATTGTTTTTGTTCAATAGGAAAACATCACCGCCTACTTGTGCCATCATCTACTGGATGTCAAGCACTGCTTTTTTTCTTTCTCAGAACACAGGGGTTAAGCTCTACAGTCAGACCAAACTGAGTTTGATTCTAGAGTCTGTTCTTTATTATAGTAGTTGTGGGACCTGGGGTAAATTATACAACTTCTCTTTACCTCAGTTTCTTTAGATGACTATAAAGAAGATAATGTACTCATCTCATTGGGTTGTTGTTATTACATTGCAGAAAAAAATTAAGGAGGATATTGCGACAGAAAAAGGAAAACCAAGAATAGCCCATTAAATAGGAAAGGCAAAGAGCAATAAGAGAGTGAGGACACAAAAGCATAATTACTTACATTAGGTGGCAACTACATAAAACAGTTTTTTTTGTTTTTTTTTTTTTGAGACAGGTTCTCATTCTGTTGTCCTGGGTAGAACACAGTGGTGTTATCATAGCTCACTGAAGCATTGAACTCTTGGGTTCAAGTGATCCTCTTGCCTCAGCCTCCTGAGGAGTAGGGACTACAGGTACCTGCTATCATACCTGGCTAATTTTTTCCCATTTTTTGTGGAGATCAGGTCTCACTTTTGCGTAGGCTGGTATACAGAGCTGTTTATTGTTCAGTTCATCTCAAAATGCCAGGATAATGCATTATTTTCGTGAATTCATGGTAAAAGGCAGGGAAATCTGTGGACCTTATAAGGGATTTGTCACCTACATAAGTCAGCATAGAAATACTAGGAAGAAATAAAATTTCACAACTTACCAATGAAAACTATTATTCTCCATATGATATGAGGCAGATCCATGTGTTGGGTAGGCTGGCCTGAATCTCTTTAAACTTCAATGTACTATCAGCCTGTGATTTATTTCTTTATTTCTTGCTTTTACATCTCTGGTTTCTGACTTCTTTCTGGCCCTAATTTTTGGAACTATCCCCCCACATTAATGTAACAGTTAACTTTTCTAGTTTTTCAATAAGGCAAAAGATTCTTTGTGAGTAATCAAGTAGAGGAAAATTCAGCCATTTATGGGACTGTGTAATTGCTACATGTTTGTAAGGAACTTATTCTGTTAAAGTAAGTTAGTCCTTGACACACGAAGGACTATTTTAAGGCATTGCAAAATCTTTCAATAACATCCATAAATAAATGTTTCATTTTAATACTCTAAGAAAATGATTTGACAGAATGGGAATCAAGAATTGAGAGATATTCAGCCTGTAAAACGAAGACTAAGGCCTGACTTCCTTGAGGCTCCTTCTGTTGCAGCAGGGTATCTGGAATCAAGATGGTAATGGCTTTCCATAAAAGCCATTCCATCAAGATCAAATTTATTCTGATTTTAGACCCAGGAGTAGGTAGGCAATGAGTGGTGCTATTTGTCTTTATAGGCTAAAACAAAATTGATGCAACAAATATGACTAGGATTAGACTTACGAGAAATGCATGACTACCTATACTTGTAGTTTCGGAAGGTCCCTCACAACCTCTCACAAGAGCTCTTTCCTATCTTAGTTGGTTTATAACATCGATTCAACTATTGCCCTGTAAAAATGCAAAATCTCCCAGGAGTGGCTACAATAATTAAATGTTCCTGTGCAAGGGGAGGAAACAAAATGTAATTGTGCCCTTCATAATTTTGCCTGGAGTTTGACCTTGAAAGGTCACATATTAAGAACACTGTTAAAGACAGAGGTTTCTATGATAATAGAGACAGTATCCATTCCTTCACCTACAGTGTAAAGGAAACAATCCAAAGATCCTGCTAATCATCCAACCCACTCATCCAAGTCAATGATTATTTCAATTTCCTTTTCATGCTCTGGAAAGCTAAAGCATCCCTATAGTCTCAACACAGTGGCCTAAGAGGTCTTAATGATTAAGATGAAGCCATAAACTGTATTCCATTCCATGTAAGATCTGGTCAAATACCTTCTTCCAGGGTGCTTTCTTTGGTTAGCATGTCCTTTTCTGCGCCCATCAAGAGTCAATATTCAGTTCCACTGGCCAGGCACGGTGCTCACGCCTGTAATCCCAGTACGGGGAGTTGGAATCCCAAGGCAGATGGATTGCCTGAACTCAAGAGTTCAATACCAGCCTGAGCCAGAGCAAGACCCCTGTCTCTGTTAAAAAAAAAAGAAGAAGAAGAAGAAGAAGAAGAAGAAGAAGAAAAGCAGGGCTTGTGACCGCACCTGTCGTCCCAGCTACTTGGGAGGTGCCATGGCACTCTACCGAGAGCGACAGAATGAAACTCCTGTCTCCAAAAAAACAAAACAAAACAAAATCAGTTTCACTGCCTTGATTGTTTCGCACTTAAAAATCATTTTTGTGTGTTTTTTGTTTCACGTGTATGTTTTGACTTTGTGTGTATTTTTTGCTTCATGTACAGGACGTCACAGTTTGTAAAGCTCTTTGGTACCCACCACCTGTCTCGATCAGCACAAAACAAACCTATAATGAATTTATCGTCCGCTTCATTTTATAGGTGTGGGGAGAGTCAAAGACAAGTTTATAGATACCATTTATCCAGGTAAGCTGCCTTGGTGCACCTTGCCTCCCCTCGTCCTCAAAACCACCTGCTGAGGAGGCCTCACAGCCTCCGTAGAGCTGGACAAGTCGCAGTCCTCAACCTGCTTCCTCTCACTGTCACGCACTTCTCCAGACCTTCCCGACCGGCAGGAGAGCCTTTGCCAAGGCAGGGAAGACCTGAAGAGGGACCCCGTCAGGAAGCAGCGCAAAGCGGGGTTTTCTAACCTCCAATTCCCTCCTCCTTTCGGCACCGAACAGCCACTCACTCTCTTGGACGAATTTCGAACGCGGTTTGAGCCCTCCGCACTACACTAAGGGAGAGGTGACCTCGACCCAGACTGAGTTTTACTCCCAAGGAGCTCAATTCTAGGGCAAGAAGAGTTAAAAAACAAAACAGAAAAACACGTAAGTAAGCAATGTCTCTCCTCACCCCTATCATTTGGTCACAAAGGCGTGCACAGCGCCCGGGCGTGAACCGGTAAGAGAAGGCCTGGCTCGTCACTCCCCTGAGGGCATCAGGTCAGGCAGCAAGGACGAGGCCCCTGGGCGAAGAACGAGCTGGCGAAAACTGGAGCCCGTTCCACCTTCCCTGGAGCGAAGGTTCCGAACGCCGATGACCGTTACTCGACGGCGAGACGACTCACGGCAGCCGCGGAGACTCAGCGCGCGGTCCCGAGCTTCGCGCCCCTCGCCCTATCTGATTGGGCGGTGGCGGGGAGGGGCGGGGCGAGCCCGGGAGGAGGTGCGCGCAGGCGGCTGGGGGTTCCCACGGAGGCACCCAGGGGGCGAAGGGGCGGG